AAAAAAAAAAAAAAAAAAAAAAAAAAAAAAAAAAAAAAAAAAAAAAAAAAAGAAAAAACTGACAAGAAACTTGGATTCCTCCACTGATCTTTCTTTGATTTCTGCGAGTTCTTCGGCGACATGCAAATAAAAATTTTCTTTTTGTTTTCTTCTTTCTTCGGCTCTGTCGCGGTATGCACCAGAGCCAGTGCCTTCGCCTGCGTATACATATATTTATATATATATATATATTTATATATATTTATTTATATATTTATATATATATATATGTATTTGTATTTATATTTATATATATATGTGTATATATATATATATATATATATGTTCAGCAGCAGCAGCAGCAGCAGCAGTAGCAGCAGCAATACCAGCAACAGCAACACCAGCAGTAGCATCAGCAGCAGCAACAGAAACAGCAGCAGCAACAACAACATCAGCAGCAACAGCATCAGCAGCAACAGCAGCAGCAACAGCAACAGCAACAAAAGCAGCAGCAACAGCAGCAGCAACTTGCCTTCATCTTTTTGTGTTTTTTGTTGTTTTCTTTTTAATATTTCTTTGTATCTTTCTCTTCTCCGCTGCTGCGCTTCTGTTATTTGGCCTGGCGTTCGTTGCTGCTGCTGCTTCTTCCTGCAGCAGCAGCAGCAGCAGCAGCAGCAGCAGCAACAGCAGCAGCAGCAGCAGCAGCAAAAATAAATGAATATACTTATGAATGTATTTACTCATTTTCTCTATCTTTTTTTGTTTTCTTTCTATCAATTTACTTCTTTTTCTCTCTATCTACATTTATTTATTTATTTATATTTATTTATATTTATTTATTTATTTATTTATTTATTTATTTATTTATTTTTATTTACTTTGTTTGTTTGGGGGCCGCCAGTACAGAGGCGTCCACCTCATTCAGCAGCCGACGAAAGTCGTTGTTTGTTAGAGCCATATTTTTTTTTTTTTTTTTTTTTTTTTTTTTTTTTTTTTTTTTTTTTTTTTTTTTTTTTTTTTTTTTTTTTTCTTTTTATATATTTATTTATTTATTTATTTATTTGTTGGTTTGTTTGTTTGTTTCTTTGTATATTATTTTTGTCTTCTTGTTGTTGGTTTTTTGTTTTTGTTTGTTTTGTTGTTTTGCTGCTGCTACAGAATTCACAAGATGCTGTTGCTGCTGCTGCTGCTGCTGCTGCTGCTGTTGCCGCTGCTATTGCTGTTGCTGCTGCTGCAACCGTCGTTGTTGCTGCTGCTGCTGCTGCAGCTGTTGCTGATCCTACTGCTGCAGCAGAAGATGCAGCTGGTACGGCTGCTGCTGTTGCTGCTGTTGCTGCTGCTGCTGCTGCTGCTGCTGTTGCTGCTGCTGCAGTTGTTGCAGCTGCGGTTGCCTTTGCAGCCGCTGCTGCCGCTGGCTGCTGCTGCTGCTGCTCCCTGCTGCTGTTGCTGCTCGCTGCTGCTGCTACTGCTGCTGCTGCTGCTGCAGCTGGAAGCAGCAGCAGCAGCAAGGGGATGGGGTGTACGCCTATTTAGCGTTGTTGTGTTGCTGCTGCAATGATCAAAGGAGATTAAAGTTTTTGCTGCTGCTGCTGCTGCTGCTGCTGCTGCTGCTGCTGCTGCAGCAGCAGGAAGCAGCGGCCCAGAAACCTACGAGGGTACAGCAGCAGCAAGATTCTGCTGCTGCTGCTGCTGCTGCTGCTGATTCAAACGCATGCAAATAGCAGCATTTAATAAATATAAATAAATAAATAAATAAATTTATTTTTTTGTATATTTTACGATAGCAGCAAAGAGCAGTACCCCAGGGCCCATGCAGCCCCGGGGCCCCCCAGCAGCAGCAGCAGCAGCAGCAGCAGCAGCAGCTCGTTGCAGCAGCAGCAGCAGCAGCAGCAGCAGCAAACACTGTGTATTGATTTGTTATTATAATAAAATATTAAACAAAACTCATATAGACAAAATACACACAGAAGAGCAGCAGACGGCCACCACCTTCGTAATTTTGCTGCTGCTGCTGCTGCTGCTGCTGCTGCTGCTGTCGTTGCTGCTGCTGCTGCAGTGACACTCCGGTATTCGATTAACAGCAGCAGCAGCAGCAGCAGCAGAAGCAGCAGCAGCAGCAGCAAAGATGATGGTGATGAGTATACCGTGTTGAGCTTGTGTGTATTAAGTTTTACTGCTGCTGCTGCATCTCTTACTATTAACCTCTAACTGCTGCTGCTGCTGCTGCTGCTGCTGCTGCTGCTGCTGCAGTGTCTAGGCAGCACACATACACCCCAAACACTCCTCTCTAATGACTGCCCTCAGCCCCCTTGAAAGCCCCCCGGGGCAGCAGCAGCAGCAGCAGCAGCAGCAGCAGCAGCAACAGCAGCAGCAGCAGCAGCAGCAGCAGCAACCTCTATCAACAGCAGCACATGATGGGGTCACCTCATCTCCAATGCAAGCCAGCAGCAGCAGCAGCAGCAGCAGCAACACCACCACCAGCAGCAACACCACCAACAGCAACAGCAGCAGCAACAACAACGGCACCAGCACCAGCAGCAGCAGCAGCAGCACCAGCAGCAGCAGCAGCAGCAGCAGCAGCAGCAGCAGCAGCGATGACTTGTTTGCGTTGCGGTCAGTGACGGCCTTCCCGCAGCCTTTTGCTGCTCCCCCGCCTTTCTTCGTTCCAGGCCCTGAGGTGTATACGCAGCTCCTTGTCTTTGTCTTTTATTTTTTTTTTATTTTATTTTTTTTATTTTTTGTTTTTATTTGTCTTTGTATCTCGCTTGGTTTTGTTTGTCTTTGTCTTTGTCTTTCTCTTTTTTTATTTGTTTTTGCCTTTATATGTTGCTGTTGCTGCTGTTGCTGCTGTTGCTGCTGTTGCTGTTCTTGCTGGTGCTGCTGGTGCTGCTGTTGCTGCTACTGCTGCTGCTGGTGTTGCTGCTACTGCTGCTGCTGGTGTTGCTGCTACTACTGCTGCTGGTGTTGCTGCTGTTGCTGCGGTTGCTGCTACTGTTGTCGCTGTTGCTGCTGTTGCTGCTGCTCTTGCTGCTGCTGTTGCTGTTGCTGCCGTTGTTGCTGCTGCTGCCTGCTGCTGTTTTCTCTATCTCTCCTCATTGCTCCCATTCATACG